CTCCCCGCCACAGAACTGCTGCGGCCGCCTGCACGCGGGCGAGCCCGCGCCCGGCCCCGAGGCGCTGCTGCGCGCGCGGTTCAGCGCGTACAAGCTTCAGCTGGCGGACTACCTGGTGGCGACGACGCACCTCAAAAACCCGGAGCACACGGGGGATGCGAAGTCGTACTCGCGCGTGGTAATGAAGACGGCGCGCGCCAACACTTTCATATCCTTGCAGGTGGGGCGGCTCGCGCATCACGCATGAGAGGGGCGAGGCGGGGGCAGGCGCTGGTCGCCTCGAGAGAGGGCAGGAGACAGCTGGGGCGCCTTGGGACGCGCCGCGGTCGCCAGGCTGGGTCAAAAGAGCGCCCCTTTGATGGCGCCCTCGTTTGAGACCGTGAAAAAAAGTGATCGCCTCCTGCACGCGGCCTGGCGCCATCTTGGCAGGTGGAGAGCCAGGAGCCCGGCGCTACCGAGGACGAGGCCTTCATCACGTTTACTGTGCACACGCGCCACAACGCGGCGGCGGCGCAGGGGCGGCCGGCGGACGCGACGCGCGAGAAGAGCCAGTTTGTGCGTGAGGGCGGCAGGTGGCTGTACCGCGACTGCGTCGAGTAATGGGTGGCGGGATTTGGCGTCGCTTCGAATGCGCGTGCGCCGCAGCGGTACAGTACGACGATCACTGGTCCTGACTGGGCACTGACGGCGCGCAGCGGTTGCGGTCCCAGATCAAGGGTTGCTGTTCAGGGCGGCGGGCTTACGGGCGGCAGCTGGCGGCGGAGGGCGGCACTCGCGGGCGCATCGCGGGGGGATCTGGGAGTCGGATTCCATAGAGATGATGTCATGGCCATGTGACGGGGGCTCTGTTGAGCGCTGGCAACACGCAGAATGCCAAGCCACAGTTGGAATTAGCATATGCAGTCAGAGTGCCCGTCTCCCTACGTGCTCACGAGTCAACTTGCAGCATCACACTAGCCTGCACCCCGGCACCTGCGCGCTCGTTTCGTCGAGTCGCTCGCGCCGAGCGACCCCAAGGGCCAGCGGTGCACATCGGGGCTCTCATAACAATCAGTTTCTGGTCTCATACACGTAGCGTCGACAGGAAATTCCGTCGAGCAGCGTGAAGCGAGATTATCTAGCCAGTGCCGCGGAGAGCCAAAGCCGCGCAGAGCCAGCAGCAATCCCTCTGCTCTGATATCGATATGAAGGGCAACTTGTGCCTTAATCGTGGCGGGGCCCCCGCGTCCCGCTTCTCGAGTTCATCCAGGGTGCGGGCCTTGGATTTGTCGCGCTGTGCTCGTTGAAAGTGGAAGCCCGCCGCGATTTTCTACGACATCATTATATTCCTGTATTTGCACGCAGGCGTGGTGCTGGGGCCATCCAGCTGGAGTGAGAAGCACCAGCGTTGCTTGTGCTGCGTCGCAACAGCAGCATGAGCAGGGGCGCAATGGCGGTCGCACCGCTGTCTACAGTGGCGCAAAGACTCCGCAGACAGCTGTTGGTCCCTTGAGGTGGGTAGGAGTCGCATGAGCAATCGGGTAATTGGTGGAATCGACAGGGGGTGCGCGGCAGCCCGCACCTGGCAGTAATGGGTCTAGGACGAGGGGACCCATGCGCCCCCAGTCCTTGGACTTGGGCCGAGCGCACTCTCCTCGTCTGATGCACGGTACACGGCTCCATGCATATCAGAGCTTGCGCCCCACGAGCAGCCGCCGCCTCGCCCTGCCGCCGCTGCAGGAACGGCACCACCAGCAGCAGCGACCAAGCGCAGCAGCAGCAGCAGCGACCGCACCAGCAGCAGCAACCGGAGCAGCAGCAACGACTAGAGCTGCGGCAGCCGGAACGCGCCAGGTCGCCAGTCGAGGAACTCCTCATGCAGTCGCTCGGCGGCGCCGCCGCCGGCGCCTCCACAGACGACGCGGAGCCGTCGTCGTCCGCGCCTGCCGGCGGCGCCGGCGCGGCGGCGGCCGCGGTGGGCATGCTGGGCGGCATCGCGCTGCTGATGGGCGGCGGCTATCTGTTCAGGGAGCCGATCAAGCACTTCCTGACATTCTTTATTGACGCGGTGGACGAGTGGGGCCCGGGCGGCTACGTGGCATATGCAGCTGTCTACACTGGGCTCGAGGTGGGCGCGCGGCGCGACGGTGGTCCCAGAAGCCAAGCGGGCGCTGTGCGGGGACGCTCGCGGGGGCGCGGCGCGGGAGGCAGGAGAGGGTGGGGGTGGACCTTTTGGGACCATCGGCGGTGGGCCGCGGTGCCCAGAGCTGCCTCCACGCGCCGGAGCCGTGGGATTCCTCTTCACTCTCTGAGCATCCCACCGCGTGCCGCCGTCCTCCTCACTTCTTCTCCCCAAGGTGCTGGCCGTGCCGGCGATCCCCCTCACCATGACCGCGGGCGTCATCTTCGGCCCCCTCGTCGGCACAGCCATCGTGTCTGGCAGCGCCACCCTGGCCGCCACCATCGCCTTCCTCATAGCCCGCTACGCGGCGCGCGACAAGGTGCGCCCGTGCGCTGCGGCGCGCCCCCTCGCGGCGCCGCGCCTTGGTCCTGGCGGCGTGCAAGCGCCTGCAATCCGGGCTGTGTATGTGGGCCGCCTCTGCAGGCCTGTGATGGTCTCAAGCTTCATTTGTGCCGTCTGCCGCGCGTCTTCCCCGAGGTTGCCATGCGCTCGCGGCTTGACCACCCAGGCCCAACCCTCCTTCATACCCCGCAAATACACAACGCAATGCGAATCTGCCGCAGATCATGTCATTCGCGCGCCGCAACAAGCGCTTTGCCGCCGTCGACCGCGCGATCAGCCAGAACGGCCTCAAGTTCGTGACGCTGCTGCGGCTGAGCCCGCTGCTGCCGCTGGCGGCGAGCAACTACCTGTACGGCCTGACCAGCGTCGATTTGGGAAGCTACGTGCTTGGCAGCTGGATAGGTGCCCCGCGCGGTCGCGGGGGATGAGGGATGGGCTGGCTGACATGGACACAAGGATTTTTGACCAGGGACTGCCAGCGCGTTTGTCATGGGATTGACGCTGTATGCTCATGTTATGTGGGGCCAGATCGCAAGCAAGAATCTTACCAGTGACGACGCCGCACGCCCCCGGCGCTGTTGCAGCCCGCAAACTTTATTAGGTCGCTCTCACGCGCCGGCGGCCGCGACCGCCCCCTGCGCCTTGGTGGGACCCCCTTTGCAGGCATGCTGCCCGGCACGTTTGCGTACGTCACCACCGGCCACGCGGGCAAGTCCGTGCTGCTTGAGGGCGGCGGTGGGGACGCGTTGAGCGTGGCGCCGTGGCAGGTCGGGCTGGGGATTGCGGCGACTGTCGTGGCGCTCGGGTTCATAGGGCAGCTGGCCAAGAAGGCGGTTGAGGAGGCAGATGCAGAGGTGCGGGAGCAGGAGGAGGCGCGGGCCCTTCAGCAGCAGCAGGAGCAGCAGCAGGGGCAGGAGCAGCGGCAGGCGCAGGGGCATGAGCAGGGGCAGGGGCAGGGGCAGGGGCAGCAGCAGGTCGGCGACGGCCACGGCCACGCTGTGGGGAAGGTGCTGGCGCGCGGCGGCGGCAACGGCAAGCGGGCGCACGGCGACGAGGAGGAGGGCGGCGGGCGGCAGGTGTGAGGGCACGAGGGAAAGCGGTGGAGCATGCCCATAGAATCGTACCCCTGTGCGCGCCCGCGCCGCGCCGGCCCTTCAGGACGGCGGGCGCGCCGCGGGCCGTTTTTTCCTGCAAGCGGGCGGCTTTGCGATGGCTGCAGCCGCCGGGACCCGATGACATCACCATCCTCACATGTGTGTACCACCAACGCTTTGAATGGACGGCCGCACGTACAGCTGTGATTAGCGCCGTCCGCCGCTGCAGCAGCGCGTGGGGTGCACTGCCAGGTCGCTCGAGCATATGCATGGTTGGGCGCTGCCCTCTGGTTTTTGAAGGTTTTGGGCTGTTGTCGCGGCGCCGGCGGCAGGCGCGATTCTGCACATGCGTCTGAGCGGGGTGTTGCGCCGCTCACTCTCGGGCCCCGGCTGCAATGCATGGAGACCACACACATGAGTTTACTTTTTGCCACTTGGAAAGAAGGGGGCCGAAAGAGCGGCGCACACGTTGCATCCCCGCTTGAAGCCGCCAGTCCTGTTGAGAAGTTGCTCGTGCTGGCTTGGCGATTTTGACGCGCGCGGCCCCGCGCTTATGGCCATGCGCACCGCGCCGGGGCTGATCAGTTGCACTTCTTGCAGTCTGGCTCATGTTGCCCCTTTTCAGACAGGCATCCCCAGCCCCATTGCGGGTGATGTTTGGGGCGTTGCAAAGTTGTGCGTGTAACGCAGGTCGAGAATCAGCCTGGTGACAACTGGGATGGAGGATGTAGGTTACGTACTATCACGTGTGTGTGGGCCGCCTTGCTGCCACGCAACTCAGCTCATCTTGTTGAAGCGCCACTGTAGCTTCACACCTGCCTTCTCTGGCTGCAGTGCAGCCTCTGCACCTCAAAGTTGACATCGGCCAGAGAGCAGAGGGCAGCGACCGCCACGCCGCTCGCAGTGCAGCTGCTCGTGCCGTGATGGAAGTTTGGCAGAGTAGGCTGCATTAACTAGATTCCCATCGAACTGTTGTGAACATGTAACTTGGGCCTGTCAAGTACGGTAATTGCGATGCCGTGGGCGGTTTTGGTGAACCCGCCAAAGGTGTGATGAAAAGCGTCCAAGGCTAAGCAAAGACTGATTTATCCTGCAAGATATCAATTTCATGCAAGTAGATTGCTGCGCGAAGCACAGCAGGCCCCGCGAGCGTGATGGGTGCAACCCGCGGGCCCCTGGAGCAGTGGATAGTATTTATTTTGGCCTCTCAAATCCTTCTCAGTGCTAATGGATGCTCGCCACCCGCGTATGGTAAGCCTCGCAAGCGCCGCTTGGTGCAGCGGTCGCCGCCAGTCTCAGCTCATCAGCACGCAGCGGCGCCTCTCCCCGAACAGGCAGGACGACGCGCCTCGCCCTCGCATCGCCCCGCCACTGTTTGACCCTGCAGCCCAGCCGCCGCGGGGCCAGCCCCCACCACCACTCAAGTTCGTAGACGGGAAGGTGATCAACTTGGCGACGGGCGACCCTATCACAATCAAGGCGGTGAACTGGTGTGTGGGCTTTGCACCTGCAGCCCGCAAGACAAACGTACACACATTGGAACAATGCGCAGCTTGCGTAGGCTTTACCGTGCAGTGCGTGACACAACCCCTAAATCAAGTCACAGCGGGCAGAAGGCACGTACGATGCAGCCGCACGCCCACCCCCCTTAAAACACCGTGCCCGTCTGCGCCAGGGACACCTTCCCTTTGCCCGCTCCAACCAGTGCTTTGTGCTACACAGTGCTGTGCCACTTCTCCCCTCCTCGTCCCCACTCCCTCCGCGTCCCTCGCACGCGCCCCGCAGGTTTGGCTTCAACAACGGCCAAGGGGCGGTCGACGGCCTCTGGGCCGGCGGCAGCGACCTGGCCACTGACTTTCTGGAGGTGGTGCGGCTGGTGTCGCTCCTGGGATTCAACGCCGTGCGCCTCCCGTTCCGGTGAGCGCTCGGCAGGAGGTCGACACGCGGGGGGTTCGCTGTCGCTGGAGCAAGGCGGCTTGTGCTGTTGAGTTGACGCGGAGTCGCTGGCTGCGGAACCGTGAGCCCTGAAACGTCGAACTTCGCGTCGCGGCGGGCACCAATGGGCGTTTTTGGTCTATCCGCCCATTCACCAGGTAACGTTAGCTTTGAGGTGCACCGTCTGGTCGATATGCAACCACTCATAAGCTCGTGCAGCTGCACAGCCATGCGCATCAGGGGCCGCTCCCCCAGGCTAAGTGAACCCTGCCGCCCCAACTGTAATAATCCGACCAGGTTCCTGGACCTGCGGTCGCCCGCGCCCGACAAGACCCGCCAGTGCCGCCCCTCGCCCGAGTGGCAGCTGAAGCGGCGGG